TCAAGGCAGACCTAATTAGATTACATTACACACGCTTATTCAAGGCAACCAACCAGGAAGCATATGATATGTTGCAATATGGTACGAGCACACACACACACACACAAACGCAGGGATAAAACAGACGTAGACACCAAAAGCTGCAGATTGAGACCTCATCACACGTTTGTCAAATGCCTCTGTTGCCACCAGAGGGGAGATTTGATGTGACAATGAAATCCAGATTCGCACCAATCTCCACGGGGTCAAAAAGCCATCGGGGTGGCGCAGACTCACAGTCACAAGAGGCAGAATGAGCAACACTCGATGGCTGTAAATACATTGCACTTCGTGTCATACAGCTATCAGCTTGTCAGGGGGAATCTGGGTTATTGCGATGTGTGACTCCTGACATCAGTCATTCCTTCTATCTCACTGCCGTCTTTCCTGTTACTAAAATAAATATTTGGGCTTCTGCTCTTCCAGAGGGCCTCAACAACAGCGCCCTGCTTTACATTCAGGAGGTTACTGACACTGGAGCAGCTGGAAGAAGTCCAGACTATTCAAATCTCTGTCATGTTTGAGACTGTAGTTAGTGGTGTTGTTGAAACGGAGTGCATGATATTAAAACCTTAGTTACGTTATGGAATTAAGATGAATGATACCACCGTGGTAAACACTTTTATGTGGAATAATTCTACACATGTGGAACTGCTGCAGAGTTTGTCATTTCTCCAGTATCTATAATTGCTATTACAAGTATTTATATTGTTTTAGCTGTGTAACACTTAAGTTGACATTCATGCTCTAGTTTCTGCCTGTTATTGTTTTATGAGGTTGTGAGTGTAACAGGGAGTTTGTTGTTAATCCCAAAATAGCAACCCACAGCCCAAAGTGACTGAAATACATCGAACATCAGCTACAACATCTGTTGAATTCTCGTCATGAGTCATCGTTTCATAACTTCAGACTCGACTTGACAAAATTAAAAAAGACTTGCAACTTGGACTTCAACACCAGTGACTGTGACTTCCTTTTGACTTTTTATTCCCAGCAAGTAGTGACTCTAAGCTAATTGGTTAATTCCCCAGACAGCATCCAATCAAGTTGCAGGAGAGAGCCACGAAGAACTGACATTACCTTACGAGTGCCATTGGAAAAAATTATACCAAAGATAATTTTGAGACTTACTCATAACTTGAAAACAATTGCCTTCCAACCCTCTGGAATTCAGAGTTACAGAATAGTAAATAAATGTAGTTATAGTTGCTTTTAGTGGCACAGTAAACTGTACAGTTGAGTCTCACGGCTCTCATTAACTCCTTATATAAATCACTTGGCGGCCATTTTCTCAAACAAGCTTGCCTTCCTGCCCAGCAGCAGCAAAAAAAAAAAAAAAAAGAGCAGCTGGAGTAAATGATTAATGGGTGAAGAAAGTTGGACATCTAGCAAGCTAAAGACCCAAATATGTTTCATAGGAATTGGTTGAGACCAACAAAGACCTAAAAGGTGAGTGTTACTGTTGTCAAGTGGCCATAAACTGTGCTCCAGATGAATGCTAATATTGCTAATATTGACTGGATATGTGTAAGCAACTGTTGAAAAGATGTTAGCAAAAAGTATCCACACAGCGTTAATACTAAAACTATAAAGTATACATTGACTCCGAATACACCTCTTATGTTATGTTTTGACAGTAAACATTCAGCTTATAAATACTAACACAGGGACATATGGTAAATAGTACTGTGGCATTGGCATGCTAACATTACTGTCAAAGTAAAACATGGACACTCACAGGAAGAAAGCAAAACGTATGCCCAAATTTTTAATTCTTACATTTTGATTTTGTTTTTATTTTATTTTATTTTTTTCTGGAGCCTTCTCACCACCTTCAGCGATTACCTTGAAGTTCTTACACCTGTAAGGTAACTCCTTACATCTCTATGCGCATTGCTCTGTGGGAAAACACAGCTTTTCCAGACACTTGGCAGACATTTTGACTCGTACACAGTTAACAAACAGTCCTGAATCAGGCACTGCTAAATGGAAATAAATAATGTGATTAGACCCAGCACACTGAGAATAGTGGCATCTTTGAGTACATCTAATATGCCATTTTCTCTGCGTAAATACATTTCACTCACACAGAAATGTTTCTAATGCGGCTTTGATTTAATGTAGGTTGTTGTTAGGTTAAAATGAACAACTAAACCCTACTGACAGCATTTTAATCAAGGCAATCAACCATCTATTACAGACCCGCATGGAGTTTTCTTTCTGTATTCTACAATCTGAATAAAATGTTTCTTTTCAGAGGTCACCTATCTGACAAAACCTGTGGGTATGAAATATTATGGTTTCTTGAGGGTTAATGTGCAGCCCGAACATGATGATGTGGGTATTATTATCATTATCACTGCCATTATCGTCATCACGCTAGCCAATTGGATGGTGATTCTCTATGAATTTCTCACCATGGCACTTTCTTAGCAGTGATTTATTTCCCTGCTCTACACTCTTTCTGAAAATTGATATAAAATGTCTCATCGCCTCTTTTTCTTTCCCCAGTCACACGAACATCCAACGGCCACAGCTGCATTGAGCTTTCCAGCCATTTGTACGGCTGTTTGTCCAAGAACTGAACCTCAGTATACTCCATAATCTCCAGCAGTAAGAAGCTATGAATCCTGAGTAAATCCATTTATGTGTTTGTCCATCCCTCACATACACTTTCTCACATATTGCTAATCAGATTTTTATAACACACTCGCTGTTGCATTCCAGGATTTTCAAAATGACACTGAGTGCCTGAAGGGGGAGGAGCTGACAGTTGGAATAAGAGGAAATATGGTGAACCCAGGTGTCCTTGTTGTAATAATCTTCCCCTCAGGACCTTCTCATTTATATACTGACTACATCATGTGTGCAATCAATCAAAACAAGGCAACACTGTAAATAGACTGCCAAAATTGCATTTGTGTTGCGAGGCTAGAAGCAGGGCTCTAGGGATGGCAATGTTTGACGGTCTGTTGGTTGTGTGGTCATTCGGTCCAAAGGTTGGGTAGATTGCCATGACATTTGGTACATATCCCCAGACAAAGTATCCAAATGACTTTTGTTCCCCTGTATTTTTTTCTAGCTCCACCATAAGTTTGACATTTTAGATTGTTTGTAGAATGTCTCAACGAGAATCGGATGGATTGTCATGAAATTTGGTGGGAGACATTCAAGGTGCCCAGAGAATGAATCCTCATGAGCACAGAGTTATATTTATATATATATATATATATATATATAACTGTTGTATCAGTTTCTTCCAGTCCTTCACGTTCCCCTCAGAATGAATTGTAATGACTTTGGTGATTCCCTGACTTTTCATCTATTGCCATCTTTAGGTCAAAGATTTTTTCTTCCAATTTTTGGTCTATGATCAAATACCTGCACTGCAAACTAAACTAATCACATTCCCATCAGTCTCAGCTGTACTTTGTGTTGTATTCCTTATTGGCAAATGTTAGTATGCAAACACTTTGAATTAATATTATTATCTGCTAAACACATCAGCATTTATTGTGAGCAGTTTAGCAGCCCAGTATTAGTACGGCCTCACAAAGCTGCTTGCAGAGCTACAGTCTGTTCCATTTGAATGAGTGGTTATTCAGTTTGCCTACAGGCTGGGTGCATTATTCACTGGGGATGATATGTGTGTGGCTTTGCTTATGGCTGCTTGTTAATTTTTGTGCTCTGGGACAGAAAATGATTCTGTTGCCTTCAATTTCACTGTGAACAAGATCACCACTCAGCTATTATGTGAAAATATGAAGCCTATGGTTTCTTAAGATGGTCCTCAGTTCTCTGTACGGTATTTATCATTATTAGATAAACTATGGTATGCTCAGCCTTAGCGTACAGACTCTCCCTTTCTCTCTCTGTCTGGTCGGCGTGCTAAAAGGAAACTATGTGGATTTGACACATTGAAGTGGCATGGCCATTTTCACACTTCGCAGAGCATCACGTATAGCATGGCAAGAGGGGAGAGCGGGAGCTCGCCGTGGCAGAACAGGAATTGAAATGAAATGGAGAGAGAAGTGAAAGCTGGGAGGAGGAGAGGAATACTGGGATTTTGGTTCGTCAGATCTTATTTTACTCCCACCAGCCGACACACGCAGACACTGTCGCTCTCAAACTTTCACTCATTACCAGCTCTCTCTTCCCTCTCCTCCTCCCCCCTCCCGTTTGAAGCACCGATCTCTCTTCCTCCCACACTCTCTCTGTCTCCTGAGGCTTTTCCTTTCCTGACTTTGTTTCTTCTTCCTCTTCCTCCCCGTCCTTCCCCCTTCTGTGTGTTTTTCTTTGCCCGTCTTTTTATCTCGTCACCGGCTGCTGGATGGCATTTTATTCTCTTTGCCTCCACACTCTGCTGCTCGTCTTGGTTTAGCACAGCTGTTACAACCCTTCTCACTCACTCACTCTGCATTTTTACACACACACACACA